AAAAACTAAAGCAGTCTTAAAGGCAGGTTACAAGCAGAGGGGTTTCGAACAAGCTGTTCCCTTATCTGCTGTTCGGTAAGACATACTCCAGTATTTTTGTTAGCGTGACAGCTTCCATTAACCCCATGGGACACGGTTTCAGTAAGGACTTGGTATTCTCAATCTTCAGAACTGCTTAAGGAATACTTTTAGAGCCCTGTGAGTTTACAGCTTGAGTCCTGGAGAAAAACATTTCAGAATACTTAAGGTGCAGTCTTTTCCCCACTTTTGTTCTTGTAACTACTCTAGTTTGAGGAAAGGGGTCATACACGAGTCACATTTTAAAATTCACCCTGGGGCCATTCTTAGATATTTGCCTGTCACATTTGCTCTTTTCCACCACTGCTTCCCCAAAAGTCTTTTACTTGTGCTTGCAGTAAATATTGGCATATATTTCTCTTGTCGTTCTGTTACCTTGGGAAGAAAAGAAAGATTATTTTGTATTTCTTTGATTGATACCAAACGTAGTTTCTTTGCATGATTCAAACATTTAATCATTGTTAGTAGCTGGTTTATGTTATCCAGAATTACTCCTTTCTGTTTTATTTTCTTGCTCAGAGACTATTATAATAGAAACATTGTTGCTGCCGTTACCAATAAATCGGTAAAACAGATAAATCCTTTCTAACTTTGCCACCTTTGCTTTGGCCTCAAGCTTGCAGATCAGTTTTGTAATGCCATTGGAGTGTTGCAGCAGTGTGGTCCTCCTGCCTCTTTTAGTAATATTCAGACAGCCATTAACAAAGATCAGCCAGCTAATCCTACGGAAGGTAAATAGATTTTCTTGGCTTCTCTTAGTTTGACTCTCACATTACCTGTAATCCCTTAAAATTAGATTTATTGAAACATTCAACTTATTTATGGCTTTCTAAAAATGTTACTGTTTGAGAATATTACTACAAGTTTGTCATAAAAGAAATGAATTTGTTATAGTCAATTTATGTAACACCTCATAATTCTTTTCTTGTCAAATAACAGACGTTTTACTTGTTTAGAGGAGAATTGTATGAATTTAGCTGAATTTTACTTGAGGGACCTTAATAAGAAAGGCATCCCATTTATAGATTCCTTTATTCAAGTGACCACTGTATTGTCCTAATAAATGAAATGATATACATTATGCTTACATTCCAATTTGAGTTAATATTAAAGCTAATTCTCAAACGTAATAGAATTGATGTGTTAAAATTACACTTTAATCATTAGAAGCCTGCTACAGAAAAAGTTATGAAGTTTTCTGTTTTCATAAAGTTTAACTTCTCTTTCTGAAAACTTGAGATTCTCTAATATCCTAAATGAGTACCATCTTTCTCTAGAATATGCCCAGCTTTTTGCAGCGTTGATTGCGCGAACAGCAAAAGACATTGATGTTTTGATAGATTCCTTACCCAGTGAAGAATCTACAGCTGCTTTACAGGTAAAAATATCTTTTCCTTTGAGAATTTTGTGAGTAGAGAATTTTGAATTAAAGAGATAGATTTAGTGCCTTTTGTTACAATTTTCAAAGTTAATCTAAATGTTAAAGTGGGAATTTTACTGTGAACTACTGTAGCCTGTTAAAGACTGAGCTGAATGTATATAACTGTCCAATTTTGAGCTTAAAGAAAACTTGCCATTTTCCTCAGTTTGCTGCTTTTCCTTGCAAAGAGTGAGAGGAGGGGCACATTCTGGGTGTGGAGTAGAATAGTAGTGTCCGAAAGCAGTGTGGAAGGGAGTCTCATGTAGCCATCCAGAGATCTCCAATCGAAAAGTCATCTTTTAAGTTAATTCATACAGGGAAGACTCTGATATTAGGATTTCTGCCACTGAAAGTTTTATCTGATCTTAGGATTTCTGCAACTGAAAAATCTATCACAATGGTTGCGTAGTCATCAGATTTAAAAGTAAATACTTTTACTGCAGGTTCTTTCCACCTCAACTTTCATTAATCTCCAAGTTTGTCATTTCTCAGAACATTCTTAAATTTGTGTCTTATAAAGGCTGCAAGCTTGTATAAGCTGGAAGAAGAAAATCACGAAGCTGCTACATGTCTGGAGGATGTTGTTTATCGAGGGGACATGCTTCTGGAAAAGATACAGAGCGCACTTGCTGATATTGCGCAGTCCCAGCTGAAGACAAGGAGTGGCACCCATAGCCAGTCTCTTCCAGACTCATAGCACGGTGTATATATAGTGTGCGTGCGGCTGAGAAAAGAACTGTTTCAATGCCATTGAGAATTCTGCATCAGATTTAGATGGAAGCCTTACCAACAGTTACAGAAACATTAAGCACTATGACACATGTTATCTTTTTAGCTATTTTAAATAGTCATCTGTTTTCACTCTTAATAATAAGCTTGTAAAATTGTGATTGAACCAGCTTTAAACTGTCATTATGCCATTTTTTAAAAGTTATTATCTGAGTTAAATTATTGAGGCAGATATTGCATTAATGGTCATAATATAATTAAACAGATGTACTATAAAATTCTATTGTGATGCAATTTCTGTCTTTATTTTTGTTATATTTCTACAGTCTTTACAAATCAAAACATCCCTCAAGCCAGAGGAGAGGTGGTAAATGCAGAGATAGTGGACTTTTGAATTTAGGTTGATATCCTTCTGCCTCTTTTATTTATTTATTTGTTTGTTTTTTTGCGGTACACTGGCCTCTCACTGTTGTGGCCTCTCCCGTTGCGGAGCACAGGCTCCAGACCCGCAGGCTCAGCGGCCATGGCTCACGGGCCCAGCTGCTCCACGGCATGTGGGATCTTCCCGGACCGGGGCACGAACCCGTGTCCCCTGCATCGGCCGGCGGCCTCTCAACCACTGCGCCACCAGGGAAGCCCCCAGAATTTTAACTAAGTTTCCAACTGGGATTTCTGTGGAAATTGACAAGCTATTTCTAAAATTTATATGGAAGTACAAAGTGTCAATAGAAATCAGTATTCTCATTAGAAAATATAGAATGACAGCTTGCTTTAATAAGACAGCATGTATTAGTGCAGGGATAGGTAAATAGGCCAATGGAAGAGAATAGAGAGATCTAACAAGAAATCCACGCAGATAGGAAAACTTGATTTGTGACAGAGATGATGTTGTGAATCACTGGGGAAGTAATAGAAATTGTGCTGGATATTGGTTATATATATATGCTATATATTAAATTCAGTGCCTATGGGGTTTCTTTTTGGGGTGATGAAAATGTTCTGGAATTAGTGGATGTTGTTGCACAACTGAGTTTACTGAAAAACACTGAAATACATACTTTAAAAGGGTGACTTCTGGTATGCTAATTATTTCCCAATAAAGCTGTTATAAAAAAGGAAAAAAAAATTTCATGCCAGGTGAAGGGCAAAGATCTAAAATTTTTAGAAGACATTCTTAGGAAAATATGCATAGCTTCAGGATAGGAAAGGCTTTTTTAAACTAGATATAAAAATTTCACATCATAAAGGAAAAGAATTCAAAAATTACGATAAACAATATGTGTCAGACACTGCTTCAAACTTACATATATTAACTAATTTAGAAAAGGTTAATAAATTTAAATGCATTAAAATTTAGATCTTCTGTTCATGAAAGTACTCCAAAAAGAGTAAAAATGCAAGCTCAGCCTTGCAGCAGGTATTTACAATACTTGGAACTGGACAAAGGGTTAGTATCTAGAATATGTAAAACCCTTCTATGAATCAAAAAAAAAAAAGAAAAAAACAACCCATTAGGAAAATCACAAAATAATCATTTCACAGCAGAGGAATGGCCAATAAAGGTGCACAAATGCTCAGCCTCATTGGTAATCTGAGAAATTTGAATCTGGCTTTCTAGGTGTTCAAGAAGGTTCACTTTTCCAGGCAGGAGGACAAAACTTACTTCTTATTTTTTTAATTAACACTTTGCTAGCTTGATTTATAAATTTTATAATTTGGATATATGGTCCCTAAGCTTCCAAATATTCTTGGCCAGGCCTATACATGTATGTTTATGTAACTTAAAAGGAGATTCCAAAGACAAAATTCAGGGCACTGATTATCTCTCTGGTGGAAAGAAGGGGATGCTATTGGGAAGAGGGTCTTTTAGGGTAAGTGTAATAATATTCTTTTTCTTGAACAGGAAGGAATGTGTTTAATAAAACTCAGTATTTCATGTAAACTATATTTAAGGGTCATGTTTTCAATGGTAAGGTTTAAGGCAGCACATTTAAAATTGTTGGAGTATAGTTGATTTACAATGTTGTGTTAGTTTCAGGTGTGCAGCAAAGTGAATCAGTTATACATATACATATATCCACTCTTTTTTAGATTCTTTTCCCATATAGGTCATTGCAGAGTACTGAGTAGAGTTCCCTGTGCTATACAGTAGGTCCTTGCTGGTTATCTCTTTTATATATAGTAGTGTGTATATGTCAATCCCAATCTCCCAATTTATCTCTCTCCCCTTTCCCCCGTGGTAACTGTAAGTTTGTTTTGTATGTATGTGTCTGTTTCTGTTTTGTATATAGATTCATTTGTATCATTTTTAAAAATTTATTTATTTTTGGCTGCTTGGGTTTTCATTGCTGCCTGCGGGGTTTCTCTAGTTGCGGTGAGCGGGGGCTACTCGTTGCGGTGTGCAGGCTTATTGCAGTGGAGCGCAGGCTCTAGGCGCGCGGGCTTCAGCAGTTGTGGCACATGGGCTGCTCAGTAGTTGTGGCTCGTGAGCTCTAGAGCACAGGCTCAGTAGTTGTGGCACACGGGCTTAGTTGCTCTGTGGCATGTAGGATCTTCCTGGACCAGGGATCAAACCCGTGTGCGGATTCTTCACCACTGCGCCACCAGGGAAGTCTCTGTATCATTTTTTTAAAAAATTCCACATATAAGTGATGTCACACAATATTTGCCTCTCTCTGACGTACTTCACTTAGTATGGTAATCTCTAGGTCCATCCACAAATGGCATTACTTCGTTCTTTTTCTGGCTAACATTCCATTTTATATATATATGTGTGTGTGTATATATATATATATATATATATATATATATATATATATATATATAGGAGCTATATATATATATATAGGATTGGCCAGACAGTCCT